TTTTTTTTTTTTTTTTTTTTTTTTTTTTTTTTTTTTTTTCTTGAGACAGGGTCTCGCTCCATTGCCCAGGCTGGAGTACAGTGGTGCAGTGGTATGATCGTTGCTCAGTGCAGCTTTGACCTCTCAGGCTCAAGCAGCCTCCCACCTCAGCCTTCTTAGTAGCTGGGACTACAGGCATGCACCACCATGCCTGGCTAATTTTGTATCTTTTGTATGCAGGGTCTTCCTATGGTGCCCAGACTGGTTTCAAACTCCTGGGCTCAAATGATCCTCCCACCTTGGCATCCCAAAGTGTTGGTATTACAGGTGTGGGCCATCGCACCTGGCCATTTTAGTTTTAATCATTTTATATTTTTCTAATTTAGAATGTTTACTAAGTCTATTTAATTTGTGAATATAATATTATTATGATTATTTTGTATGTGTTTAATCTCATTTTAATATAAGCACTTGGAAATTAGAGATCTTGTCTGTTATTTACTACTGTATTCTCAGTACTTGACCCTGCCTGGTATGAAACAGATGTTGAAGAAATAGTTGTTGAATGAATGAACTGCATTCAAAAATTCTCCAAGTATCACAGCATTCACCATCTAACAAAATAGCTTGTCTAGAGTCACAGTTAACCTGCCATCAAAGGAAATGTCAATGAAAATAAACCTTTGTATGTGCAGCTGCTAAGATTTGGGGGCTTTTGTTACTGCAGCGTAAACTAGCAAACTCAGTGAGACAGCAGATAGAATATACATATAGAAATAGACCAGATAGACCAGTAGATGAGATTCTAAAGATAGTTCAGTCAGCATTAACTAACCACACCCACACTCTCTTAATTTCCTAACAGAAAGAATGGAATTCCTGTTCACTAAGATCTGCCTCAAAGAGTACTTACTTTGTGAAAACTTTTCTGGCTACTCAAGTATTTAATCAGGACCTTATTTTTTTTTTTTTTCCTCCTGCAGGTTGGAGTGCAGTGGTGCCATCATAGCTCATTGTAACCTTTAACTCAAGGCTCAAGGAATCCTGCTGCCTCAGTCTCCCAAGTAGCTGAGACTGCAGGTGTGCACCACCATGCTTAGCTAATTTTTTATTTTTAGAGACAGGGTCTTACTATGTTGCCCAGGCTGGTCAGGACTGTTGATTGCATATGACAGAAACCCAACCAACTCTAGTTCCTCACCATCTTTCAATCTGCTCCTTTCTCAGTCTTCCGAGTCTCAACAAATGGCAGTTTCATCCTTTAAGATGCCCAAGCCCTGAATCTTTTTTTTTTTTTTGGGACGGAGTTTTCGCTCTTGTTACCCAGGCTGGAGTGCAATGGCGCGATCTCGGCTCACTGCAACCTCCGCCTCCTGGGTTCAGGCAATTCTCCTGCCTCAGCCTCCTGAGTAGCTGGGATTACAGGCATGCGCCACCATGCCCAGCTAATGTTTTGTATTTTTAGTAGAGACGGGGTTTCACCGTGTGTTAAGCTTGATTTCTCTCTTTTATGTCATAGCCCGTATGAAGGCCAATCATGTTGAGACCCAGGCGGAGGTTCCTGCTGACCCAGGCTCTCACCAGCACATCGCCCTTTACTGTCCTCCTGAGGGTGTCTGGAGCTTCAGTGCTGTGTGCTCTGGGCCTCCATGCTGGGGCACCACTGACTGCTGCTGTCCAGGGCTTCTGGTGGACTCTACGAGGCACTGATGTGGAATCTTCCCCATTCGGTGCACCAAGAGCAGCTTCACGTGGTGTGGGCTGACGTGAAGAGCTGCCAGATCTAACAGGTAAAAATCACAAGGCACTGCCAGCTGGATGGGGTCAGAGAGTCCTCTCTCCATTACGATTCAGATGAGAAGGTAGGATTCCATAGGCCCTAAACATTGCAGCATGACCCGCGTGTGCCACCCAGGAGCTGCAGTTCATGGTCAGGTGGAAGTTACTTGACTCCAGGAGAGGACAGTGTTCTCTTCAGGCCTTTTCCTCAGTGGCTGGATCTGCGTCCCTCCCCTCTCTCTTCCCCTCTCACCCGCCAGTCTCCGTCCCCATTTCCCTCTCTGTTTCCACCTTGCTGTTCCCTTTCACCTGCTTTCACCTCTTCAACTTTCATGGTTCCCCCCTCCCCGTCCACCCACATTTCCCAGGCTAAGTCCCCTGAGCTCTCCTGGGTGGGGAGATGTGTCTGGTTTTAGGCAGTGCCCTCTAGATGGGTCCAGGTTGGGGAAACATGGCTCCGCTGCCAGTAGAATGTTTGAGAGAGTGGCCAATTTTGAAGGCCTTTCACATCTCCCATTGTGGAATCGTGTAGGACTTAAAATTGATGGGCCACTGTGGAATTCTTGGTTCCTCAGGACCTTGCGGTGGTTGCCTTCTTTCACTGAGCATTCACAGGGTGGCTATTAGGTGCCAGGCCCTGCTCTGGGGTAGGGAAACCACAATGAGTAAATGTCAGGTTGCTGTCCCATGGAACCCACCACTGCAGGCATCAAAAGGGGGAGAAGGAAAGCAGTGTGGCCTGTTTGTGTCCTTCTCACGTGGTCACCTGCCAGGTCCAGGGGGAGTGGGAGCCAGTGCAAGGAGAGAGGCCCAGTGAGAAAGGCAAAGGGATGATGTCAGACCCAGGGGCTAAGACTCCCACCTGCAGCCGGTTAGCTTCTGGAGTGGACAAAGAGCAGCAGGGAAGGTCGTAGCCTGGTGTTCTAGGGTTCACTGTCCCATCTCATTCCTGTGGGTGCCAAAATTGTCCAAAGGGAAGACTCAGTGTCTCTAACAACAGCAGGCCAGAGACAGACAGCGTTTCAGAGAAGCAGGAAGGATTGTACGCCATGGAAACAGTATATGGTTTTATAGTAGTGCATCTCTGTCTCTTAACTAGTTAGCGTGTTCCTGTTAATGGAAAATATTGGTGGTGTAAGCTCCGCCTGGATTTTCTCATCTTCATGTAAGTTTGTCTGCTCCCCCATCCCTCCCTCCTTTCTTTCTTTTCCTTCTTTCCTGAGTTTTCTGATCATGGTCATGTGAGGCTAAAATCCAGGAATGGGCTGGGTATGCTTTTTCTCTAGAGTTCAAGCTTTTATTCCAAGTTCACTGCAGATATTGGAAAAAGTTTCTATTCTTATTTGTGGGGGACTGAGAGCCCTTTTCTTTGCTGTCAGCCAGGAGACACTCTGACTTCAGAGGCCACCCGCTTTCCTCCTTACCTGTCTTTTCCCTCTTTCAGCCAATCACAACTCATGGAGTCCTTCTCAGGCTCCTTCCTTCTCTTCATTTTATCTTCTCCAACCAGCCACAGAAAGCTCTGTCACCTACGGAGTGATGCGATTCGATCCAGTTCATGCAGGTAACGTCACCATCTTCAAGTCATGTATCTGTCATATAACAACATAATCACAGGAATGGTGTCTCATCACCTTAATAAGCTTCAGAGACAAGGGTATGGCATATTTGGGGACCATTTCAGAAATTCCATCTACCATAGTTGGACACTCACATTCCGCCATCTGCAAAATGCATTTATCCACTCCTCTAAAGTTTCCAAATTTCATGCTATTAAAGCATTATTTTAACATGGAAAATGTCACATAGTCCACATCAGTTCCAAAGTATAAAATCTCATCTAAAACATCCACGCTAGGTGTGGATGAGGCGGCTTATGTGTGTCCATTAAGTACAGATCGTTGACATAATTTCCTTACCTCCATAAACCCGTGAAACTGAACAAACTGCTTATCTGCTCCTAATGAGGAATGACGGGACAGATACAGAATAAGAATTACAGTGATTCTAGTTCAAAAAGAAGGAACATGGAAGGGAGAAAGAAGTCACCAACCCAGAATAGTATGGAAGTGGAGCTGGGCAAAATCCAGCAGGAGGTTTTTAAGTAGGACCCACAGCCTGGGACTGAGCCTCCATTCTGTGGGACTTTGCCTCTGGGACCTTTGCTCTGCATTTCTTGAAACCATTATTATCTATCTTATTTTTTTCCCCACTCCTTTGTTTCTTCTCCTTTCTCCTCATGGCAGCATCCTCTGCTTAATCTTTGGTCCATGCATCCCCAGCAGAATTGGTCAGATATTGCCCATGTCACAGTCCTGACCATCTCCACGAGGGGCTGTCCTTGTGAGCCCGTGTTCCTCTGAGATTGTCTTCACAGACCTGACCTGGCTGGGTTAGGAGAAAACCTAAGAATATGGAGTCCCAGAACCATTCTCTGCCCTCTATATCTCCAGGAGAGGAAGAAAATAACAGGGATCTTCATGGAGAAATGACCCACGTGAGGGCCTGGGCTCTCCAGCAGTTACAGCAGAGGAAACTTCCTGAGGAAGCATGGAGGAGCTGAACGCTCAGACTGGGAAAGCAGGGTTGTGTTAAGCACTATTTAATCCTCACGTGCTCCCTGCCCCAATCTACAAGCCAGCAAATGACAATAGACTGAAAATAAGTAATAGGACTATAGAACCACCATAAAGAATTGTCCAAGGAAAGGCCCTTTTACTCTGTTTGCAAGGTGAAATTGCTGTAATGGATCCAAAGTTTTCTGAAAGGCAGCAGTGAGTTTCTGGAGGGTGAGTTACCTGCTTTGCACAGGGAGGGTGAGGCCAAGGCTTGTGTGGTCTATCTCCTGCCACTAGGTGGTGAGGGAGCCTGGGAGAGTCTCTGTCTTTCTGGACCTGAGTTTTCTCATCAGTAAAGTAGGGGCTTATTGTATCTCTCTGAGGTCCCTTCCTGCTCAGTTTTCTCTGAGTCCTTGAGGGACTTAGATGGTCTTTAACACTGCATGGACCTGTAGCCTGCCTTTGACCTCTCTGGGTCTGACTCCTGACTCTCACCCCTGTGTTTCTCCCGCAGAGACTGAGCTGAGTCCACACCCTGGAAGCTGAGAACCGAGGGATCAGATGGAATAAAGTAAGTAAGCAGGTTTTGGAAAAGAGAATAACCTGCAAAGGACAAGTCAATGCTAGAACAGGTGAGAAACAAAGAAGGGGAGAATAAGGACAAACCGGGCCAGAAGCCTCAGGGGAAATGGGCAATGGACCTATGATCATTCAACCACTGGAGGAGCAGTGCAAGCTAAGCAGTGGGGACCGAGAGAGAAACTTACTCCACAGGAGTCTCCTGACCCTGGCCAGGGAGAGCCAAAGCTGGCCAGGGATCAGAGCTGGTTTATTGTGAGGGGCAACACCAACTCCAAGAGGGGGGGGATGCGACCGTGAGCCCCACTCCAGACACAGGAGCCTCAACCTCAGGGCTGCCGTAGCAGTGGATGCTCTTCAGGTCAGTGCGGGTTAAAGAGAAGAAACATGCCTGGAGAAGGGTTAGAGATGTCTGTTCTTAAATGAAACAGTTCTGTCCTAGGTCAGGGGTCAGAATAAGTGTTTCTTGCCAGTATATGAAGCAGTGATAGTTACACTATTCTTCTGCACTTGCAGTTGAGGAAGGTCTCTATATGATATGAGTATTTACTGGGTGTTTAATTTTCTCCACACTGTGTTAAGCACTTGGGGTTCAAATAGTAGTGTTTCCCCAAGGAACTCAAGCTCATGAGAGAAAGAACACAGAGACATGATTTCAAGAAAATATAGTAGATCTCTGAAAGTGGGGTGTCATGGCAGCCCAGAGGATGGGAGTGTAAGTGAAGACATTGCTCCCAATGACAAGGAGAACCATAAGAGGAATGCTTCAGAGTAGTCCCATTTTTCCTCCAGTGTCCCACAGAAGATCCTGGGGTATGACTGGTGTAGAGCAGGGGTCTACAGGTGTAGGAAGGAGGCTTGCTGCATCTTGGGAGAAATTATGGCATCCCTGGTAGGACATTTTGGAGAGGAATGTTGGTGATTGAATTGGATATCTGTAGTCACTTTTATCCTATCTTCAGTGAACACTGCTGAGACCTTCCTTAGTGCCAGACCCTAAGCTGGGAATCATGAACATAGAGACGAGTAAGAATATGATCTCAGCTTTCACAGAACTTAGTCCAGTGAATAGCGAGTTATGAGAAGTGTAGTGATGGTGGCTTCATTAGAGCAAGTGGCTCATGCTGCATGGAGATGACCTCAGTGGATGGCTGGGTCCCCCTTCTGGTTGTTATCAACAGCTGGATGACTTGCTCTGGGCCAGTGACCCTGGATTTCTGCCAGGTGTCTGCATCTTAGGTACAAGCAACACCTCAGTTTCCTGTTCGGTCAAAACAGTTAACACTGCCAAGGTGATCAGAGGATACTAGTGATATCAGTAGCTACTGATGAGGTCCTGGCCAGCTAGGGAAATAAAGATGTTAGTTTAACAACGATTCTAAATTTGTTCTTAACATCATAAGCAGAGAGTATCTGTCTTCTAAGTTAAATACTTTTTAGACTTCAAGATTCACCCACATGCAAAATAAAATCTGTATCAGTCATATCACTGCCCTGAGATGATTTCTCCCTGTCCTTACCAGAAGCCTGCGCTATCTGGAGCACTGAGGCTGTCTCAAGCTAACTGACCTGCTCTCTGGATTCCAGGGACACCAACAGAACCACGGGTTGAAGGCAGAGGCATTAATATCTCCAACCGTTCTGACTCCAGGTTGATCCGCCCCAATGCCCAGTATTAACCACACAGTAACAGGATGCCACCAACATTTTGATTTGGGGCTGTCATGTCATAACTTTAATAAAATTTAATAGATATTATTTTTTAGAATAATTCTAGGTTTACAGATAAATTGAACCGACAGCACAGGGAATTCCCCTATTCTCTCTTGTCCCCTAGAACACAATTTCCTCTATCATTAGTATCTTGCATTAGTGTGATAGATGTTTACAATTGATCAATCAATATTGATATGTTGTTATTAACTAAACTTCATAGTTTACATTGGGGTTCATTCTTTGAGTTTTATAGTTCTGTGGGTTTTGACAATTATCTAGTGTCATGAATCCTCAGTACAGTATCTCACAGAAGAGTTTCACTGCTGAAAACCTCCTTGTGTTCAACCAATTCATCCCTCCTGCACACTTGGCAATCACTGATCATTTCACTATCTCTGCCATTTTGACTCTCCTGGAATGTCCTAGTGTTGGAATCATACAGTGTGTAGAGTTTTTAGACTAGTTTCTTCCTAACATTATGGATTTAAAGTTCCTCCATGTCTTTTCATGGCCTGATAGCTCATTTCTTTTTATCATGAATCATATTCTCTTGTACAGATATACCACAGTTTGTTTAGTCATTCACTTAGTAAAGGATATTTTGGTTATTTCCAGTTTTTGACAAGTATGAGCAAAACAGTTGTAAATACCTGGATGCAAGTTTTTGAGTGAACATGTTTTCACATTACTGTGGTCAATACCTAAAACTGCTATTTGCAGGATTATGTGGCAAGGCTATGTTTAGCTTTGCCAAAAAAAAAAAAAAAAAAAAAAAAAAAAAAAACCTGCCAAACTGTTTTCCAAAGTGACTAGCATTCCGCTAGCAGTGAATGAGAGTTCCCGTTGCTTTGCATCTTTGACAGCCTTTGGTATTGTCACTTGTTTGGATTGGAGCCATTCTGTAGGTATATATTGTAGTGTAGTGGCATCTCATTGGTTTAATATGCAATTTCCTAATGACACATGGTTTCGAGCATCTTTATGATATGCTTATTTGCCATTCATATGTCTTTTTTGGTGGAGTATCCAGATCTTTTGCCCATTTCTAAATTGGGTGGTTTGCTTTTTTATTATTGAGTTTTAAGAGTCCTTTATGTATTTTGGACACCAGACATTCCATCAGATCTGTACTTTGCCAATGTTTTTTCCCCAGTCTATCACTTGTTTATTCATTTTCTTAACAATGTCTTTCACAGAGCAGAAGTTTTTAATTTTAATGAAGTCCAGCTTATCAATTTTTTCCTTCCTGGATTGTGCTTTTGACATTGTATCTGAGAAGTCATCGCCAAACCCACAGTCACCCAGATTTTCCCCTATGTTATCCTCTAGGAGTCTTACAGTTTGGCACCTTACATTCAGGTGTAAGATCCATTTTGTGAAAGGTGTAAAATCTGTGTCTAGATTTATTTATTTGTCACATGTGGATATCTAGTCATTCTAGCACCATTTGTTGAAAAGACTATCCTTTCCCTGTTAAATTGCCTTTGCGCCTTTCTCAAAGATCAGTCTATTTCCGAGTTCTGTATTCTTTTCTGGTGACCTATTGTCTGTTTTTTTCTTCCTTCACAAATTTCCATACTCTTTGGTTACTGTAGCTTTATAATTAGTGCTGAAGTCAACAGTGTCAGCTCTGTCAGTTCTGTGGGCATTTTTCTGATCTTTACCATGAGAACCTGGTTGGGCTCCAGGTGGTAAAACTTAGAAAAGTGTGAGATCCCCCCTAAATCTGGGCCCCAAGGAGTTTTGAAAGCTCAAGCCAGGCCACCCTCAGCTTCTAGTCATCTGTCAGTACCATTTAAGTGCTCCTCCCAGTGTCTGGCTTCAGCAGCTTCTGTTCCCTGTGTTTGCCTTTCTTTTCAGCGTGGCAATTTGCCCTGCGACCTCTCCTCTAGTCCCTCTAATAAGATTTGATAATTTTCAGTTTGTTAGCTTTTTACTTGTTGTGAGGACAAGTGGTGACCTCCTGGCTCCTTACAAGTTGGAGTTGAAACCAGAAATTTCGTTAAGCAAGTTGCTTGTCACTAATCGCAAATGTAGAACTGAATAATTTCAGTAGATATGTAGAATGTTGTAGCCATCACCTCAGTCCCCTCTTAGAATATAGACTACATTTCTTTTTTCCCCAGATTCCCCAGAGGCTCTTTGTAATCATTTTCTAATCACTGGTCACCATGACAGAGCCTGAACAAAATTTAAATTTGGGAAACAGACAACATTACATTTCAGCTTTTATTAGATTGGGATTTTATCTAATGGACCATTGTCTTACTCTTGTGTAAACTAGAGGAGATATTTTATTCTAAGGACTTTCTTTGGGGGAACTTAGTAGTAGTCCTGTTTATTGCTCTCCTTGAATTGGTTCGTCTATGCTAGTAACAGATAGTTACTATCAAACCTTGTCTGGTGATCACAAGTGAAAGAGCTAAAAAAAAAATTCTTCTATTAGAAATGTAGATGATGAATTTTCAGATAATGTTATGTGGAGTTACGTTTGTTTTTGAGCTGGAGTTTCGCTCTTGCTGTGCAGGCTGTAGTGCAATGGTGAGATCTCGGCTCACTGCAACCTCTGCCTCCTAGATTCTAGCAATTCTCCTGCCTCAGCCTCCCGAGTACCTGGGATTACAGGCATGCACCACCATGCCTGGCTAGTTTTGTATTTTTAGTAGACAGAGTTTCTCCATGTTGGTCAGGCTGGTCTCGAACTACCAAGCTCACATGATCCATGCACCTTAGCTTCCCAAAGTACTGGGATTACATGCATGAGCCACCACACCTGGCTGGGAGTTAAATATTTTACCATCTTTTTTTTTTCTTTCAGAAATTGGATTGGTAACATTGAAGAGACACTTCTCACCTGCCTGAAATGCCCTTCATTATCTTCTTCAAGTTGCAAGGGCTCTGGAACAGCCCTTACAGTGCTCCCATAAAGGTAAGTATAACATTTTACTGTAGTCCCTTGCTTTTTTTTCTTTTTTGTGCCTATAGGGATTAGCATACATGTATGTGAAAATATAAACAGAGTATAGATAGGCACCTGTAACTAGTTTTCTGTTGCTACCTATTAGTGCATTATAACAAGTTAGTGGTTTGAAACTACAGAAATCAGGAATGATTGGGTTCTCTGATCAAGGTCTTAGGAGGCTGAAATCCAGTTATGGGCTGCCTGTGTTTTTCATCTAGAGCTCAGGCTACACTTCCAAGTTGACTACAGATGTATTAGCAGAATTCCTCTTGTGTGTGGAGGACTGAGATCCCTTTTTCAGTGCTCCTGGCTCTCAGCCAGGAGACCCCCTGACTCCAGAGGCCACCTGCATTCTTTCTCACTTTTCCCATCTTCCAACCAGCAACAGCCCATGGAATTCTTCTCCAGCTCCCATCCTCTCTCTGACTATGTCTTCTACCCACTAGAGAAATCTCTGACAGTTAGGGAGTGATGTGATTCCATCCGGTGCACTGAGGAGAACTCAACCTTTGTATTAGTCTGTTGTTGCAGTGTTATAATGAATGACCTGGGAGAACTCAGCCTTTGTATTAGTCTGTTCTTGCAGTGTTAATAATGAATGACCTGGGTGATTTATAAAGAAAGAAGTTTAATCAGATCACGGTTCTGTGGGCTGTGCAGGCTTCTGCTTCTGGGAAGGCCTCAGGAAGCTTACAATCATGGTGGAAGTGGAAGCAGGCATGGTCTTCACATGGTCGGCAGAGACCTGGGGGGTGGGGTGAGAGAGAGAGAGAGAGAGAGAGAGGGGTGGGGGAAAGAGAGTAGCGGGGGAAAGTGCTACATACTTTTAAACAGCTAGATCTCATGGAAACACTGTCATGTGACGGCACTTGGGGGATGGTGCTAAGCCATTAGAAACCTTCCCCATGATCCAATAACCTCCCACCAGGCCCCACCTCTAACACTCAGGATAATAATTCAACATGAGATTTGGGTGGGGACACAGAGCCAAACCATATCACTCTTTAAAGTCATATGATTGCCATGTAACAACATAATCACAGAAATGTCTCATTAGCTTAACAAGTTCCAGAGATAAGGGTACAGCAGGTTTGGAGACCATTTTAGAAATGCCACTTATCACAGTTCAACTTCTAGTCCCCAGACATTCACGTTCCTCACAGATGCAAAATACATTCACCCTCTCACCTAAAGTTTTCAAGTTTTGTGTCATGAACGAATTAGTTCAAAGTGAAAAATGTCATGTAGCTCTAATCTGATTGAAAGTTTAAAATCTCAGTTAAATCATCTACACCAAGTGTGAATGAGGCTTCTGAGGGTTTCCATTAAGTACAGATTCTTTTTTGTTTTTGTTTTTGAGAGTGAGTCTTGGTCTGTGACCCATGCTGGAGTGCAGTGGTGTGATCTTGGGTTACTGCAACTTCTGCCTCCTGGGTTCAAGTGATTCTCCTGCCTCAGCCTCTTGAGCAGCTGAGATTATAGGCATGCACCACTGGATTCAGCTAATTGTTTTGTATTTTTAGTAGAGATTGGGTTTTGCACTGTTGGCCAGGCTAGTCTGAAACTCCTGACCTCAGGGGGTCCATCCCCTTAGGCCTCTGAAAGTGCTAGGATTTCAGGCATGAGCCACTGTACCCGGCCCAAGTACAGATCTTTGATATAATTCCCTTACCTCTGTTGACCTGTGAAACTGAGCAAACAGCTTATCTGTCCTCAATGTGCACTGGTGGGACAGTCACAGAATAAGGATGCTAGTGATTCATGTTCAAAAAGAGGGAAAGTGGAGGGAACAAAGTCACTGATCCAAAACCATTTTGAAATGGGGCCGAGGAAAGTCCAGCAGGAATTTCTTGATTAGGCTCTTCAGCCTGGAACTAACCCTCTGTGACAGGGGGCTTTGCCTCCGGGCTCTGCATTTTTTTTTCTATTGTTACTGAAAACATTTTATTTTTCTTCTTCCCCCACTCTTTTGGTTCTTCCCCTTTCTCCTCATGGCAGCATCCTCCACTTAAATTTGTTTGCATCATCCCCAGCAGAATTGGTCAGATATTGCCCATGTTATGGTACTGACCATCTCCACGAGGGCCTGTCCTTGTGAGCCCATGCTCCTCTTCACTGTCCTGACCTCTTTCAGTCATGATTGCTTTCAGCTGATCTGGCTGGCTTAGGAGAAAATCTAAGACTATAGAGTCCCAGAACCAATCTCTGCCCTCTCTATCTCCAGGAGAAGAAGAAAATAACAGGGATCTTCATGGAGAAATGACCCAGGTGAGGGGCTGGACTCTCCAGAAGTTACAGCAAAAAAAAAAGTTTCTGAAGAAGAATGGAGGAGCCGAGAGCCCAGGCCGGGAAAGCAGGGTTGTGTGAAACGCTATTTAATCCTATGTGCTCCCTGCCCCAGTCTACCAGCCAGTGAATGACAGCTAAGTATAAATGCCAGGACTATAGAACTGTGATAAAGCGTTTGTCCAAGGAAAGGGCCTTTTACTCTTTTTGTTTTCACAGTGGAAATTGCTGTTTTTCATTTAAAGTTTCTGAAAGGCAGCAGTGAGCTTCTGGAGGGTGAGTTACCTGCTCTGCACAAGGAGGCTGAGGCCAAGGCTTATGGTGGATCTGCTGCCACCAAGTGGTGAGGGCAGGAGCCTGGGAGAGTCTCAGTCTTTCTGGGCTTCAGATTCCTCATCGGTGAGGTAGGGGCTTATTGTACCTCTCTGAGGTCCCTTCCTGCTCTGTTTTCTCTGAGTCTATGAGGAATTGAGATGGTTTTCAGTGCTGCCTCGGACCTTCAGCTGAGACCTGAATGTCAGTCCCCTGCAGGAGCCTGAGCTGAGTCTACACGCTGGAATCCCAGAGCTGAGGGAACAGGTGGAAGAAAGAAAGTCAGCAGGTTTAGGGGATGAGAATAATCCACAAAGGACAAGGCATTGGTAAATGAAAACCAAAGAAGGGGAGAATGAGAACAAACTGGGACAGAAGCCTCAGGGGAAATGGGCAATGCCTATAATCATTTAAATTCTCAAGGAGCAGCATGAGCTGAGCAGTGGGGACAGAGAAATTTACTCCACAGGAGTCTTCTGCCTCTGGCCATGGAGAGCCATAGGATAGATCAGAGCTGTTTTATAGTGAGGGGCAGCTTCAACTCCAAGAGGGGGAGGATATGACTATGAGCCCCCACCCCAGACATAGGAACCTCGACCTCAGGGCTGCTGTAGCAATGGATACTCTTGAGGTCAGTGTGGGTTAGAGGGAATAACCGTGCTTGGAGAAGAGTGGAGATGTCCATTCTTACATCGAAAAGCTCTGCCCTAGGTCAGGTGCCACAGTAAGTGTCCCTTGCTTGCATATGAAGCAGTGATACTTACACTGTTTTTCTGCACCTTCAGTGTAGGGCACGTTCGGAGCCCGTTGTAGGGCTGAGTGCCCCACCGAGTCGTGGGATGAGACTTAGGCTGTGCTGAGGCACAGGATCTGAGAAATAAAGAGACAGGACACAGAGGTACAAAGAAAATGCAGCTGGGCTCGGGGGGCCAGGACACAGAGTTACAAAGAAAATGAGGCTGGTGAGTGAGCCCCGAATGTCCAGAAGCATGAGTATTTATTGTGTATAGGTTAGGGGGCAGGGCAGTGAGTGAAATCATGTTTAAGGATAGTGATAGGGTCGTGAGCAATAAAACATGGGGTCCACCCCCATTAGGTCACCTAGGCCAGAAGGTGGACAGCGCGCAGCAAGGGGCCCGTTTCCATGAAGGCAAGGGCCGTGTGCAGTAAGGGGTCCACCCCCATTAGGTCACCGAGGCTTGAAGGTGGGCCGTGTGCAGTGAAGAGGGTTCAGTGTGTGATACTTCTATCTATGGGGAAACAACTTCTAAGAAGATTTATAGGAGGATGCCTTAAGTCACATAGCAGTGACAGAGCTGTAAGGGATTCTGGTAGCTTCCAATGGATTCTATGGGAAGATGCTTTTCAAGCAGCACAGTAGCAAGAGCTGATAAAGTTCACAGTCACCAAGGTGGATTGCCAGTCTCAGGGCAGCCTTCCACAAGAACTGGAGCAAGGTCCTACAACTCCTTTATCAGGAGGAGTGGCTCTTGCCCCAAGCCTACCATACAGTGGGTATCTTTACGATACTGAACGCTGCCGCCTGGGCCATGGATTCTTGTCCTGGTATAACTGTTTTCCCTTAATTCATGCTCTGCACTGTATCTGCTCCAGGCATTCCTCCGATTATAAGCTGCTTATTCCTTAATTCATGCTCTGTACTGTGTCCACTCTATGCATTCCTCCGGTTATGAACTAAGATATAATTATAGGTATATATGTAGGGAAATGTTCTTTAGGCATTCATACTGTCAACTATTATATGATTACATATAGAGGATTATATAAAGGGATCCTTCAAGCCTATTTCTATAAACTAATATATGATTATGTAAAGGATTATATAACAGGAAATAGCTGAGTAGTAACACTATAATGTGAGATATTCCTCAAGCCCTAACTGTGCCAGGGTTCTGCTTAGCCCTCATTCCTCAGTGCCTATATGGGCGATTACCCACATTCAGTTGAGGGAAGTTTCTCATATTTATTATTTAATTTTCTTTATACTGTGCTAAGCACTTGGGATTCGGGTATTTAATGTCTCTAAAGAAACTCAAGCCAGTGAGTGGAAGAATACAAGCAGATCATTTCAACAAGATACGGTAGTTCTACCTAACTGAGGTGTTGTGGCAGCCCGGAGGATGGGAGGGTATGTCAAAGGACATTGCTCCTAATGACGGGGGGAAGCATAAGAGAACATTTTCAGATTGGCCGGGCATAGTGGCTGACACCTGTAATCCCAGCACTTTGGGAGGCTGAGGCGGGTGGATCACAAGATCAAGAGATCAAGACTATCTTGGTCAACATGGTGAAACCCTAACTCTGCTGGAAATACAAAAAAATTAGCTCGGCATGGTGGTGCACACCTATAGTCCCAGCTACTCAGTAGGCTGACGCAGGAGAATTGCTTGAACCCAGGAGACGGAGGTTGCAGTGAGCCGAGATTGTGCCATTGCACTCCAGCCTGGGTAGCAAGAGTGAAACCCTGTCTCAAAAGAAAAAATAAAAGAGAACATTTTCAGAACAGACTAGTCTTCCTTCAAGCTCCCACAGGAGAGGATCCTGGGGCAGGGATGGTGTAGGGCCTGTGTCTCTCTAAGGAAGGGGATTTGCAGCATTCTGAGAGAAAGCGCATCCCTTACAAGACATTGGGGACAGAAATGTAGGTGAAAGGGTTGGAGGTTTCTAATCAATTTTATTTAGTCATGGATGTACACTGCTGAGAGGCCCTTCTGTGCTGGGCCCTTAGCTAAGAACCATGACCACAGAGGTGAGTAAAATAGGATCCCAACCTTCACACAATTCTCAGTCTAGTGACTGGTGATTCATGAGAAGTGTGGTCATGGTGGGTCCATTCGAACCAGTGGCCGATGCCTCATGAGATGACCTCAGTGGATGGCCTGGGCCAGTGACCCTGGACTTCAGCCATATTTCAGCATCTCGAGGTACAGTACACCCATGCCTCTGCTCCATGTTGAGTCAAAGCAGTTAACACAGCGAAGGTATTCAGAGGACACTGGTGATATCAGTAGCTATTGAGTGTTCCAGCTGGGGAAACAAAGAAGTAAATTTAATAAGTCTTCTAAATTTGTGCTTGCCATAATGATAAATAACTTTATCTTCATAATAAATTATATCCTGGTAAATTAATTATAACTTGACATAATTAGAAATAACTTTATCCTGAGTACAGCTGACACACAAGCCCTTGAGGACACATGCCTGAGGATTCTGATGAAGATATGATGTCCAAATATCATTTGGACCTACAGTCCAGCTTTGAAACAGTGGAAGACCCAGTTTCAAATTCAAGGTTGCTTTGAGTAGAAATTCACTTTACCTCTTTTTGCATGGCAATGGGGCCAATCTTCCCTGAACTGCCCCTTACAAGAAAAGGAATCATACTGGTAAGATTTCAGACTTAGCAGACATGGGTAAGTAAGGAAGTCTTACAAATCTCTTCTAGTCACCTAGCAAGAAACCAGAAATGCTTCAGCAAGTTCATTCACATTCAGGACAGTTGTGTGCACTAGATCACAGACGCTGAGACATGAAGAACAGACCCCCTAACAAGGGAAAATATTTCTTCCTGTCCTAGGACATCACTGCCAACTTCAGGGAAGTGAGAACACAGCTGCCCGCTTTACAGTATGGGTTACTTTTGTGCCTGGAATGTGTCTGACGTCCTGAGACCTGTACCCGTTTCAGGGAGCCTTGGGAGGAGCCTGAATCATGGATGGAATTGGACAGTGCATGGAGATGGTTGAGCAGGATGAGGGTAAGTGCAGGGGCATGGCCAGGTCATACTGGGAGACAATGAGCGGCACTGATGGGGACAGACAGAGAAAGTCAACAGTTTGTGCTTCAGCATCAGAAACTCCAACCAGTAACGAATTTGCTTTTATAAGTAATATTTTTCTGTTTACATGAGAATTTAATCTCCAAAGAGAAATCATAAAAATAGTAAGTCCAGGGCATAAAACCTAAACCGTAGCTCATATTCTTTCTAAATGGAGCCATCAGTAAAATCTTCATAAAACATATATTGTGGTTATAAGAAGGCAAAAGTCAGCCGGGTGTGGTGGCTCGCACCTGTAGTCCCAGCACTTTGGGAGGCCAAAACGGGTGGATCACAACATCAAGATATCAAGACCATCTTGGCCAACATGGTGAAACCTTGTCTATGCTAAAAACACAAAAATTAGCTGGACTTCGTAGTATGTGCCTGTAGCCTCAGCTAGTCAGGAGATTGAGGCAAGAGAATCACTTGATCCCAGGAGGCAGAGGTTGCAGTGAACTGAGATTGTGCCACTGCATTTCAACCTGGTGACAGAGCAAGACTCTGTCTCAAGAAAAAAAAAAAAAAAAAAAAAAGAAAAAAAGCAAAAGTCTTACTGAGAATCATTCATATTCCATAGAAGAAAGAATGAAATACAGTCAAGGGAAGACCCAAGTCTCATACTTCTTTGTATATTCCAAAGTTCCAGGGAAGTTCCAGGTAATAGAGGTTATTTCCCATGCTGTTAAAGCAAGGTTGCAGACACTTCTGAATTTTGGTAGCAATACTCTAGGAGGGCACATCTCTGTCCTGAAAAATGATACAGGAATGAATACTCTTCTTGTGACTCATTCTGGTCATTCATGCAGCATCACAGAAACCAAACAATGGAAATATGGCCAAATTCATGATTTCCTAGCCCTCTTGTTCAGGTTTCTTACCTGATTGTAACAGCATTACCTTGAAGATTATGATGAAGATATGCTGTCCAAATATGTGCACAGTTTTGAGCAAAATGACTGGTACAAATTGGTCAACAAATAATAATAATTATATGAATATTTACTGAATGACATGGATTCTATGAATAATTGTGGAATAATTATTGTAATTGCTTTTACTAGCGGTTCTCAAAACTCATCTATGTGAGACCTCAAGTAAGCCACATAACTTTGTGAACCTGCAGTTTCATCATTTTTTAAATGAAGAAACCTGACAGCTTTTCATTCTGCCACAGGTCAGGCCTCCCAGATACTAGAACATACATTTAGTTAAAGCCTTTGATATATCTCAAAGCAGTATCCTTACAGTGTAGTTGGAGGATGGTGGGGGCTGCAGAGAGGCACGCTTTCCAGTGGGATTGATCCAGTCCTCCTTCCTTCATTGCCACATGAATGCTGGGCAGCCCAGGGTCACACCCATTGTACCCTCAACTCGGACAAGCCCAGCAGCCAAACGTAGGAGACTTGGGCTACAGAACAGTCTCCCAAATCCCAGGCTCACAAAACCTAGGTGGAGATGACGGCTGAGAAAGTGAGGGGGAAGTTCAGGGGATCACTCTTCCTTACTCGTTCCTCTCATCTCAAATTCACCTTCTATTGCACAGCAACACTGAGGACCACCAACCACCCCTGACCATCACCTTGATCTTGCTGTGTTTGGTTAGTGGGATGCAACCACACATCAGTGGTGTTAGACGAACTCAGAAAAATATCTATCAAACAGTATTCCATAAGGGGACCACCCATGGCCCTGTTATTTTCAATATATGGAAAAAATGAAATGAAAACAACAAAATCGTATCAGGTTTCCAAGATTTCCCAAGATAGATGGTCACATATGCTTTCAAGAGATCTCTATAGAAATGATTTCAGTGACGTGACACCTTGAAAAGAGCTCTTCTGGGACTAGAATCACATCCATAAGTGAGAAGTATGAGATGTAGTGTTCAGTCACATTAAAAAACAAATCATCCCACATAGAGGAAGCTTTGGAAGTAGGGATGTCACACTGGTCTTAAGTGTGATGAAAAGCCTCTTCTGCCACAAACGTCAGTGTAGTGGTATCTGCCAGTAAGAAAAACTAAATAGCATAACCATGGGATGCAGCAAGAAGAATATTGAGCCAGAAAAGAAAACATTTTGAAGAAATGAATTACTCATTGACCTAGTGGATACAGAAAAAACTGCAGAAGACTCAGAGGATATGATGGCAGTGTAATAGATTGATATCTTAAACTTGTGGAAAAGCCTTCAATTCTGTTTTAACATATGAGAAGGAGAGGTGACTGATTTCATGACTAGCGTTAAGAAAGTATCACGTGTTGGGAAACTGTTTCTGCCTTGATGGTTTTATACACATATAAGAGCTGAAAAATGAGGCACATGCTTAGATGTATTGGGAATGAGATGAGACTGTGGCATTGTCACAACGGTACACAAATACTGAGAGTAGCTTATAGAGTAATGGTCCCCATCTGTTGTGACCTCAGGTGAGACCAGGAGGCCTATGTTTTAGCAAACCCTGGGCAATGGAATGAAGGGCTCCTAAGATTCCACGACACGCCCAGCTTCTAATTCTGTTACTGCAACAGCAGACCGTTACCTGGGACACTGGCCACTATCTCCCATACTCTTGTCAGAGTCTGAGCTGCAGACAGCGCCTTCAGTTCTCAGCTCAAGCATTGCAAACCTTGTTTTTGCTGTTAAGGACCCTAAAGTACTGTGAGGAGGGATCAGGTTTTTCTCAACAGTAAGTTAAGAATTTGAGTTACCTACATCCCCTGGTCCTGATTAAAACTATTTGATTTCCAGTTTTTAACCCATCATGTTTGGGTTTCTTCTCCCCAGTCCCTGGCTCTCCCTGTGGTGCCCCAAATGTCACCATGGTGGTGGCATCCTGCAGGACGTGTTCCGGGAAGACGACAGAGGTGAACTTTCCAAATACCATGGAGAATTCCTACTCCCAGCAGGAAGAGACGAAACCAAATATCAGAGCCAGCAAAAATAGACTTCTTATGAGCCAGGTGGCCTACTTCCTGAACTACCAGCTGAAGACATACAGTAAGTTCTATAGGTTGACCACCATGAAAGTGATGAATGATGTCCTATCTTGTCTCGAGAAACTAACCGTTCTTTTCATCAAACTTAGTTTCATCCTTCCCATACTTGTAGAAAATAGCAATGGGTATTTTAACATTTAGTTAAGGATGGAAGACAGTGGCAAAAGTATTTAGCAACTTTTCCACGTCTTCAGTAAGGTGGGTGTTGGACTGGGGTTGCAATCCCAGCTATTGATTTCTGACACAGGCACAGAACCACCTGTTTTTCTCAGCCAAAGGCTAAATCATGTTTACAGGAATCCTCTCTGTACCATCTAAGATCCTGCAGACAAGTAGCATCTAGACTGTTGGTCTAAATGTCTGAGGCTACTGAACTTCCATTCAGTTCTGGTTTCTGCTAAGGCCCAGTAGGCAAAGCTGTGTTCTGGGGACACTGAGGGAAACACGGTGATAGCACACAGTACCAGCTGTTGGGAACTTAAAGGGGACCCTGCTCCTAATAGAACCTGTGGTATCTGTAAGTGGCTCCATCAAGAGCAGGGAGTACCCTGGTACTGGTGCATCAACTCCCCAATTAGCTGGCATCCCCCATGGGCACCACCACATTTGACTAACTTCTGTATTTTCAGTAGAGGCGGGGTTTCACCCTATTTGCCAGGCTGGTCTTGAACTCCTGAGATCAAGGGATCTGCCCTCCTGTGCCTCCTAATGTGCTGGGATTCCAGGCATGAGCCACCATGCCAGCTCCACAGATTCTTTTTTCAGTAAAAGTTGTTAGAATTCATCCCTTGGTCCAGTCTCCTATATAAATTTCTCCAACCATTCATTGACCATGACATATGATGAGATAAATCAATATTGCAGCAATACTTCTGGAAAGTAGTTAGGGCAATTTTTGGAAGATTTTGGGGAAAACGTTTTAATTTTTTGTACTGACTTAGGTCAGAGGATATGATTAAGATCTACCAGAGGAGGGAGATTTTATCCCATGGATCTGAAAAGCAGGCTCATATACTTCTAGGGCAATTTAGTCTAGGGCCCGTTAGAACAATCCTGTCAGAATACCACATTCTTACACCAAGAATATTTTAAGTCCTTGTGCTATGAGTGGACACTGATTTGGTCTGTGTGAAGTGTGATTTGCTTAATGTGACCTGCTCTTCTGAATTTGCTTACAGGAGATCCAAAAGATCAGAATGAAGAACAGAAATGCAGAGACAGCAAAAATAAACTTCTTATGAGTCAAGTGGCCTACTACCTGGGCCGCAGGCTGAAGACACAAAGTAAGTTGTATAGGTTCACTGTCACGAAAGTGCTGAACAATATCCTGTCTTCTTTCTGAGAAATGATACACTCTCTTCTTCAAACTTAATTTCATCCTTCCCTTACTTCTAGGAATATAGCAATGGGTATTTTAGCACTTTGTCAAAGATGGAAGACAGAGGTCAAATATTTAGCAACTTTTAAAAGTCTGCAGTAAGGTGGGTGTGGGACTAGTGTTAATATCCCAGCTATTGATTCCTGACACAGGCACAGAACCACCTGTTCTTCTCAGCAAAAAGCCAAATCATGTTTACAGGAATCTTCTCTGTACCATATAAGATCCTGCAAAATGTATAAGCAAGATAAAGGTAGAAGTGTTTATTTCCTAGTTTCAAGGTGACAGAGTAGCTAAGACAAGTTGACTTTAAGGAGATCGAGATTGTAGATGAGAAGAGTAAAAGCAGGGAAATGACATCTTCAAATCAATGAGCAAGGCTGTCAGTGACATCCCTCAGTCGCGATTAAACCAATTTGACGTCACCAGTTTCTAATCCATCATATGTTTGGGTTTCTTCTCCCCAGTCCCTGGCTTTTTGTGTTCTGCCCCAAACGTCAGCATGGTGGCATCTGACAGGCCTTCTTCCAGAACAAACACAGAGGTGAATGTTCCAGAAGGCATTGAGAAATCCTGCTGCCAACAGGAAGAAAACAAACTGACTTTCGGAGCCCGCAAAAATAGACTTCTTATGAGTCAGGTGGCCTACTTCCTGAACTACCGGCTGAAGACATACAGTAAGTTCTATAGGTTGACCACCATGAAATTGATGAATAATGTCCTGTCTTGTTTTGAGTAACTAACCTCTTTCTTCATCAAAATTAATTTCATCCTTCCCATACTTGTAGAAAATAGAAATGGTTATTTTAACATTTTGTTAAAGATGGAAGACAGAGGCAAAAGTATCTAGCAATTTTTCCATGTCTTTAGTAACATGGGTGTGGGACTGGGGTTACAATCCCTGCTATTGATTTCTGACACAGGCACAGAACCACCTGTTTATCTCAGCATAAGGCTAAATCACGTTTACAGGAATCCTCTCTGTACCGTATAAGATCCTACAGACAAGTAGCATCCAGTCTGTTGGTCTAAATGTCTGAGGCTACTGAACTTCCATTTGGTTCCGGTTTCTGCTGAGGCCCAGTAGGCAAAGCAGTGTTCTGCAGACACCAGGGGAAACACAGTGATAGCACACAGTACCTCCTCTGAGGAGCTGGAAGAGGACCCTGCTCCTAATAGAACCTGTGCTATCTGTAAGTGGCACCATCAAGAGCAAGGAGTACCCTGCTACTGGTGTCTCAGCCTCCCTGTTACCTGGGATCGCTGGTGGACACCAAAGCCCCTGGCTAATCTTGGTATTTTTAGTAAAGATGGGGTTTCTCCATGTTGGACAGGCTGGTCTTGAACTCTTGAGGTCAAGTGATCTGCCCTTCTGGGCCTCCTAAAATGCTGAAATTTCAGGCATGAGCCACCATGCCTGCTCCACAGATTCTTTTTTCAGTAAAGGTTGTTAGAATTCATCCCTTGGTCCAGTCTCCTATGTAAATTTCTCTAACCACTCATTGATCATGATATATGATGAGATAAATTAATATTGCAGCAATGCTTCTGGAAAGTAGTTCTGGCAATTTTTGAAGATTTTTGGGAAAAAGTTTTAATTACTTGCCCTGACTAGGTCAGAGGATATATGATGAAGATCTACCAGATGATGCAGATTTTGTCCCATGGATCTGAAAAGTAGGCTCATCTACTTCTGAGGCGACTTAATCTAGGGCCTGTTAGAACATTCCCATCAGAATATCATATTCTTACACTGAGAATATTTTACGTCCTTGTGCTATGACTGCACACTGATTTGGTCTTGTGTGAAGTGTGATTTGCTTAATGTGACCTGCTCTTCTGAATTTGTTTACAGAAGATCAAAAAGATCACGATGAAAAACAGAAATGCAGAGACAGCAAAAATAAACTTCTTACGAATCAAGTGGCCTACTACCTGGGCTGCCGGCTGAAGATGGAAGGTAAGTTCTATAGGTTCACTGTCACGAAAGTGCTGAACCATGTCCTGTCTTGTCTATGAGAAATGATACACTCTTTTCTTCAAAGTTAATTTCATTCTTCCCATACTTCTAGGAAAATAACAGTGGGTATTTTAACATTTAGTTAAAGATGGAATACAGAGGCCAAACTATTTAGCAATTTTCCATGTCTACAGTAAGGCGGCTGTGGGACCAAGGTTAAAATCCCAGCTATTGATTCCTGACACAGGCACGGAACCACCTGTTCTTCTCAGCAAGAGGGTAAATCATGTTTACAGGAATCCTCTCTGTACCATATAAGATCCTGCAGAACTCATAAGATAATGATAGGAGGGTTTATGTCCTGGCTTCATGGTGACTGAGTAGCTAAGACA